ATATATATATATATATTAAGGAACTAGCTCACAAGACTTAATAAAAGGGTTCTCCATTTTAAGGGGTGTTTTTAAAAATTACCCAAAAAAGTTTTGAGGAAAAATAAAGTGGAAAAAAACCACTAATACCACACAAAATAGTAAAATATATATATATTATTTATATTACTTTACTCAAAAATAAATAATTGTCATTCAATTAATAAAAAATAAATAAAAGACCACAATACCACCTAATATTTGAAATGGCATAAATAATAGGTTTACACAAAAGGATTGATTCTCTTTAATTACCTTCTTAAACTTAATCTTATGTTCGTCGTTGATTTTCTTTATATATGCCTCTCTTTTTTATTTAAAATTTATGAGTGTGTAGCAAATCATAAGATATTCCAAGAATATCCCTTAAAATCTGTGTATCTCTCTCTCTTTTTGTCTCCTCCGTCGGGATCGGCATGGCACAAGAATCGGTGATTTACACATATAGCAAAAATTTGACATCAAAGTTTAAACTTAGAAAAAAATTTAAAATGTTATAAGAATAGCAAAATTTTATATTATTTTTATGTCATTAAAATGATGACTATATCATTATATAGTACAAAATATGATATCATTATGATAATTATTATGTCATTTTTGTTATATTTATAATATTTAAAAAAATTATTAAATTTCAACTCAAATGAAATTTTGCGTGTAATTACTTCCGCTAGAACCATCATACTTTTCCAACATTAAACCTTAGATAGAGAAAAGGCCCATCTAAGCCTCACCCATAGCCTATGCCAGCCCAGCGTGGCCTTAAGCTAGCGTCACACCCCAGTCTGCAGGCCTCCCAAATCTAGAACGTGTTTGGTACATGAGTTCGAAGAGTTGTTTAAATAAGGGATTTTGATTATAGCTTTTGAAATTTAAATTTTTTATAAGAGAAAAATTTTATAACAGAATTAAAATTATAAATTTGAACCCATAAATAACTCATATACCAGACATATCATAGTGGTCTTTGATGATCATGACAAATGGGATGAATAGGTTTTTAAAATTTTTTTTATAATTATTATTAGCCTGAGAATACTATCCAAAACAGGGTGAATGGTTTTTAAATCTTTTTATAATTATTGAAAAGTTTATACTAAACGTAATTTAGAAAACGGCCTAACTAGCCAGAACACAAATAAATAGGAACAGATGAAATGCTAAGTAGCTTATTTATATTAGTCACAACATACGAAAATAGCTCCTAGATAACAATATTCAAAGGGGTATAACTTATATCGAAACAATGATTAAATGAGGTAGAGTTAGAAAATTTGTAAACACTATTTATAGTGGTTCGATGATATTTCTACCTCTATTATTACTGAGCAAATCACAACCCGACTTCTTATATTATCTTGTTCTATTTTTGTCTCAATCTTATTAAGTATAAACCGGTAAATTCACTATTTAAGGTCTACCACACTTATTACAATCACGAAACTTTAACTTAAGATGTCGGCTATTCTTTTAACACTAAATTGGCAAAGGGATTCACAACTTATCACTTTTTTAACAATGAATTTTAATCACTTCAGATAATCAATCTCAACTTTATTGTGATATGAATAAGACGTCTTAAAAAGATATATGTCCAAAGCTAATAACATAACTGGCATCCATAGTGACTAATTTTGGCAGGAAGGTATATAAAATTCGGGTGGAGCAGACCTCCTTCTTTGATCCAACTGTGGCGGGAGCAAAGGCTGTCCAATTTGCTATTGTTTTGGTTTGTGGGATGATGTGGAGATTGTTGTTGTTAGATTATGAATTGTCCCACTACGCTGCTAACACACTATCCCTTTGAACTAGCTCTTGGTTATAAGTTCTATTTAAGACCCACTTAACATTATTATATCTAAATTTTAGATAGGATGTTGGATTTGCAATTTGAATCTTGGCCTTGCATGTTAGGCATGGGAGGATGTTATATTATGTATTGTGACATTGTCCCACATCACTAAATTATTAGACTATTGAGATGTTTATATGTGTTTTGCGCAACCCTCCCTTTGAGCTAGTTTTAGGGATGTGGTCTACCCAGAATCTATTTAATAAATGTCATTAAATTATTCACCTGACATTTAAAAGGAAAAAGTTCATTAAGAATTAAAGAAGTATAAACACTAATACTGACACAAATCACCCCAAACATAAGAAAACTCGATCTCGAACATTGACCGAATAAAACGCTTAAGGGTTTTGACTCGATCTCGAATATTGACCGAATAAAACCCTCAAGGGTCAAAACGCATACGAGGTACCACAATCGGGAAATTAAAAAGGTACGCTAAATATCGAGCACAAACATGACTCTTTCAACAAAACAACTATAATCGATAAAAAAAAAAAGCCCAATTGATCAAGATCGAGAGAACTATATTATTAAGGTCACCTTGCACGCCAAATATCAAGCACAAACATAGCTCTTTTAACAAAATCACTATAATCGATGAAAAAGCCCGATCAATTAAGATTGAGAGAACTATATTATTAAGGCCACCTACAACACCACAAAAGAAGCGGACTAAATAAATAAGCTACACCGAAGGATGGGAAAATCACCTTCACTAAAACACAACAAAACCTAAACACATGGTGAAGACACCCAAACGGCAAAATCAACCATGCCATTATTTGACAAACACAGAAACTAAAAGCAACAAAAAAGTCTCAAATCACACAAACGACGCTTTCGATAAGAGAACGGCCCCAAGATTGAAGAGGAAAGATCCACCAACACGAGAAGGGACGAAAGCAGCCACCAACAAACCACCCGCCATACGACATTTGGCGAAGAAATGCCAACGGCCGCCCACCGTCAAAGCCATGGGCACCACCAAAAAGACTGCAACACAAAGGGACAAACACCTCGTAGTTGTAAGCCTGTCGGAGTACCGACGCTCCCGAAGAAAGCGGCCATAGCAACAGCATAGATCTTCTCAAAACGAGATCCCGATCTCTGCTTAAATCAAACTCACCCGCCACCATCAACAGCAAATCTGCCTTGAGAATGATAACCTAGGGCTAGGAGCAGCGCCTGAGCTGCATGGGGCTGAGTTAGGGCTACCGTCCCCACTCAAATTTTTTTTTTTTTTAAATATTACCTTTAAAAACTTTAAAATTTTACACTTAAACCCCACTGAAATAATATATGCGCTTATTAAAATAAATATATTTTTTTATATGCTCTCATTAAAATAATTTGTTAAAAAAAATTTAATGTACACAAATAAAAGACGGATTCCGTCACTAACTAAGAGTCGGGCGAACCACCCGAAGGTGGCACTGAACTCCGACCCACCTGGTTATAAAAAACAAGCGGCGCCAGTTAGAAGGCTTTTTTGAGAGCAACCTTATAGACGAAACGATTCTCTCTTTACCAAATCATTACTGACATGATATTAATAGAGAGGAACGAAGAGGACATAAGAAAAATGATGCTTAACACAAGTACTGTCTTCAGACACTTTTATTTTTAATTTTGCTAGAATTTAATAGAATTTCACTCCTTAAAACTACTCACAATTAGTTAAGGTTTTTTTAACCCTTAACAAAAATCTCCAAAATAAAAGAACAAACTAAAACATGAACAAACTTCAACCAAAAAAAAAAAAAAAAAAAAAAAAAAAAAACCCCCCCAAAAAAAAAAAAAATAAAA